GGAAAATTTCCCCCCTTTTCCTTTGCATAATTGAACAGAGATTCCTTATCGGAAATGATCATGAATCGTCGACCTGCATAAAGGAGGAAGCGGAACCGGAAACGAGATTTCCAAGGTAAATTTGGATTCCATATCGATGCACTTTCCTGTGATTAGTCATCATTCGATTCGACCACTTTCCCAATGATTTCCGAAGAGGAGGTAGAAACGAAACAAAAATCGCAAAGGCTCCAAAATCGGAATTCCCGCAGCACGGGGCCGGACACATCTCGTCGAACGTGCCCTCGCGGATTCTCCGAATGCACTCAGAGCAGCATTCCGATCGAGGATCCCGACGGCATATCAGACTTCCATGCAGCAGAATGAAATGCAGGCGTCGACGACATTCGCTGTTGAATCTGGGATGGGGGACTGTCGATATCGCCGACCGATATCACCGACGGACCCTGTCCGTGTATGGTGAACGCGACCCGTGAACGAAGGAATTTGTAAACATTTTCAGCTGTCGCCTTCTCTCGCACATTCCGGATGTGTGTTTTTTTTATATCTCTTTCTCTCTCTTTATTTTTAAATATTATGTTGCGATGTACGAGATGGAATACCAAGAACTTACTACGGAAGGTAAGGCCAGGCCAGGCACCCACATCTGGCATTGCGGGGGGGGGGGGGGGGGGGGGGGGGGGGGGGGGGAGAGGGAGACAGACATGAAAGAATCAAGTTCAAGAACCATAAATTCTGTAATGAAGGAACGCCTGTTCTCTGGAAGAAAAATGGTGTCCAATTAACCTGGCTTGACTGTACTCTCCTTTTTCACTGTTCTGAAACGTATACCTTTCTCGGGTATATTTCTTCATTTCCCCTCATGTTTCCCCGCCCAACATGTTATTAACTCGTGTTCCGCTCCTTGACTCCTATATGCACAGGGAAACGACATTCCGATAATTCAATTTTTGGTGAAATAAAGCGTTCCGCCGCTCAAGTTCATTTTTTTTCCGCGGTGATTCGCGATTCTCAGTTAGAGGTGTCCGCGTGACACGACTCACGTGCGACTCGCGTCTTTCTGCGTGAATGGTGAGTCATGATTGGTCCTTTGTAGCTAACATGCGTGAGCGTGATTGGCGTCAAGATTTATGAGACAGGAGAATCACGAGAACTCCCCCTCCGTTCTGGGCACCGGAATCACGAGTGAAAATTCATGCGAATTGCAGTCTCCCAAACTTTTCCGCGAGTGGTCGTCATATTTTATCTCATGAAATAAGGATGCTGGCATGGGTTAAATGAGCGTGAAATGAGGTCTCATTAACGTGAAAGTGCCGAAACATGACTCATGAATACGAAGGTAGTTTGACAATGAGTGAGAATCTCAGTAAGGAAACACTGTGGACGCACGCGTACTCGAGATTCTCACTCAATGTCAAACTACCCTCGTACGAGTGAAATAAAACACTGGTCACGCGTACACCTCTAATCTATGGCACGAGGCAGAGCGAAGTCCTTTTTTTTCCCTTCTCCCCCTCCCACACACGTCATTCGTTTTTCTCCTTATCTCCTAAGACAATACGAAAGTAAAAGAAAGCACCATCAAGAAAAAGCATTTGGACCATTCGGCCCCCACACAAGAGCGTGACCTTGGAGAGCGTGCAAGCGAACCCGATGCACCCCGACTCCAGCGGCGCGCTAGTGAACCCGATGCCCCACGACCTCGGGACTCCGTTTATCCCTTCCGCTTCACGATTCCAGACGGTCTGCTGCTTCAAGGGGGTTTTCGGCTCAAATTCTGAGGTTGCACGTGTAGGAGGAATTAATATTCTCGTATTTCAACCACCCTCTTGGTTAGTAACAGCGTGCTTTGCTGGTGTCAGAATCGAACATCATAGTTACAGCGTAATTAAGTGAATGGGATGAAAAGAAATTCATTAATTGAAGGACTTCAGTTTACAAGACTGTAGGAAAAGTGCGTAGATAATTTAAAAAGAAATTGTCCAGCTCTTGAAAGATCCTGCTCGGACATCGTGCAGCTACTGGGAGGAACTTCAAAGGAACAGACACCCTCCGGGTTCCAATGAAAAGCGAGTACTAAAAACGATTGCGTGTGGAAAACGTTTTTCTTCAAGCAATCATAGCACCGGGAGGTTGGACAGGGAAGATAGCATCTTCCTGCGTGGAAGACATCAATTCTCGCCTCGTTGTATGAAAGAGAAGGTCATGCCAAAAGGCTCGACTGGGAAGGCCTCGCCAGAAGCCTCGCGTTCGTCCATGAGACGGACCTGGATTCTATGGCTTTCCCGAAATAGTGGTTCACGCAGAGTGGAGGCGGACCCTCGATGAGGAAGGAATCCCGCCGCGGTGGCAGCAATCAGTGCACAATGTGGACTTCTGCCTCGTGCGTTCGTCGATGAGAGTTTTTTCAAGTGCGAAAACCCCCGGGACTTCTTCCGTGAGTTAGGCCTATAATCCGCTTTGCCGAGGAGGGAGTGCCCGAGCTTTTGTCATGGACTGGGTCTTCTAGCATGTCTTCTCCCATCTTCTTTTCCATATCCGAACCCGATAAAGAACCCTTTCCAGAAAGTGTGATTTCACTTGCAAGACATGCCCCACAGCAGGGCATTGCGGCGGAAGTTCTCGCGTACGTGGCACCGATGCTCTGTGCGTTTTCACCACGGAACTGTGCGCGGCAGTTTTCTCGTGCACACGTGGTTTTCCTGTCAGTGAAATGGGATCAGGCGGATCGGAAAAACGCAGCCCTTTCTTCCTTCTGATGAGTCAAGACACATCCTTATCTTGTGTGGTGGGGGGGTGTCGGGGTCCAAGGTCAATCTGAATACATTCGCCTCTAGAATTCTTACCGCCCTCGACTGGTGTTTCAAAATGCCGTGGTTCAGAAGGCTTTTAATGAGGGTCTTTTGAGTTAGACATTCTTTTTTTGCGAATTAATATGAAACGAGTGATGGCGTTGATCAGCAGGTTCCGGGCTCCTTCTTTAGCTGCATAGTTTGCACCTAGGGAAAGAAGACAGGAATTCTGAGCGTAAAAAGAATGGCAACCGTGCAGGCTAAGAACTTATTCGAGTCTGATTCTCTCTCTCGCGAGCTGGAAGCTGAAGTCTGGGGGAAAGGAATATTCGTAAACGGATCTCACACTTTTCGATTGAGGAAGCATGCGTCAGAAAAATCTCCTGATAATGCATGGGGGGGGGGGGAAGAGATGTTGCATTCACGCCAGCGGATAAAATGCGAAAAATATTGACACGACTCTGACTAGAATGTTTGTATATCCGTGGAGGAAATGAGTCGTCTTTTAGAAAATATTGAACTCTTACACTCCAGGCGTTGTTTCTCCATCCGTGAAGCACAGTAAACCGCGCTGGTACAATCAGGGCCATGTTCGAGAGAAATTTCATAGAACATTCAAGCCCTTTCCAAGAAATTCTACTGATATTTTCCCCATGCATTCGACTAATATAGGTGCCCAGCTGAAAGCTTGCACTGCGGTCACAGCAAGTTAAGGTACATTTGTCACGAACCGCGCGAAGCATTCCATTGCCCAATGCTACGAAACTGACACATTTCGTTACTAACAGGCTGTTGGGACGTGCTAACGTCCCCGATGACGTCTCACGAATCGGATGCGCAGGGACGTAACTGCACGAGAGGATCTCGACAGACGATTAGCGGTCTCCCGCGGTTTCCTGTCAGGGTCAAGTGCAGCACTATTGATAATTTAAAAGAAAAAAAAGAAAGCCCGATCAAATGACGTTTCGATTCATTCCTCGTGCTTACAAGCTTGCATACAGGTATTTCATTGATAGCACGTCCACTCCGTCGCTGCCATCGGACAGTGCTCCAATTAAATCAATCACTGAGAAATCTGTGGTTGAATTCCCTCTCCCTTTTCATCGCCTATGCGTGGGAAATTCACGTATTTCCCCCGAACCGGACTCGTAATATCTCTCGAAAAAAAACTTTCGCATCGCGCATGAAGAGTTCCCACGGGGATTCTGGCAGTCCTCGTGGAACCGTGCTGCGATGACAGTGAAGAAGTGGCGCAGGGGAAGGAGAGCTTCCGGCCTGCGCGTCCGAGGGAAAGTATTTCTTCGGAGCTGATAAAAAAGACATACTTTATCAATCATTCGCGGACCTCTACAATGACGAAATGCGAGAGCCGCGCCCATTCCGTCTCATAAATGACTTGACCGCTTGCCATGCAGCGAAAGCGAGAAAAGGCATAACGCAGAGAACTCGTGTAAACATGACGGTCTGTCTGCAACGGGGCAGAGACTCTCTATCAAAACCAGTTTTGATATAGTCAGTTACCCTATAGGGGGACACACGGGGCTGAAAATTCGGACAGTAAGTAGGGGCCTTGTCAGACTTGGAAAATTCGGTTCACTGTCCATCTATTATCTATTCTGATGCGTCACAGCCATCTATATTCTTGGGTCATTCTCCCGAGCCCTCCCATGACGCTGTGAGCGTCCACGATGCCATCACTGACACAAGGAATGATGGAACTTCACGGAACCCTATGGAGTCTCATAGAGTCTCCGTGCCCACGACATGGTCATTCTTTGAACACCCGACCAATCGATTCGCTCGGGCTTGGTAGAAGGAAAAAATCGGGTCTTGGTTACGCAGTGGCCTCGAACTTTTCCCGGAATGAAGATGCATTCTCCTGCTATCCTTTAACACATGCGTTTTCTCTCTTTTTTTTCTATTCTGACGAGCAAATAGGCAGGTGTGTTTGCACGCGCTCCAGTAAACAAGTGAATCATGCAGATGGTTGAAATTCATGTCTACTGTTATATTCGCTAAAATAGGCATTCGAGAGAAATAGAAAGTTTCACTTTCCCTTCCTATGCAATGGGCCATCCATGGGACAGGCTGCATTTTGAGAGCTCTTGTCTTTCCGATGAAATTCGGATGCGAGCCCTGTCCCTGTTATGGAATCGGGAACGAGACGCGAACCGATAACGAAAGTCACGTGGTTTCCAACGATTCCGCAGAACCGTGAGAACATGACGTCACGAAAAGATCCCGCCGAGGAAGGCGAAAAAGGGACTGAGTTACCAGCTATCGTGCTAGTAGCAGGAAGCGAGCGGCGTATCACACAGATCGCGAGGAGATCCGGACAGACCTCCCCTCCCCCGCATGTTCACGAGATGCTCACCAAGCACTCCCGCTCTCTGTGTTCCCGGCAGTATCCCACGTGCCGGCAAGAGCAACATAGGCTTGGAGCATATAAGGCTATTGCAACACGGCACAAGTCTGTCATTCCTTCATTCCTTCGTGGAAGCATCGGCAGTCGCTCGTCGAAGTCTGTTGTGGATTCGAGCCTCATGGAACCGACGGTAAGCCGGCTAGAAAATCCTGTTAGAAGATACTGGATACCGGAATTTCAAAGTGGAGTCACTCCTTACCTTAGCTTCGTCGAGCTATCATGTCTTCTTACATTCTGAATTCTTTCGACACTTTTTTTTTCTCTCTCCGTTTTTCTCTGCGTACTTGCGAAGGAGTTATGAACGAATGGTTTTTGATCAAACGTAAAGCATGCTCGGTCCGATCCTGAGGCGGGGAGACATCTTGAAAGTGAAAACGCCGAAACTTCAATCGGAATACCTGCGGAACTTTCGGATGAGGATGTGGAAAAAGACGGTACGTTCGAAAGACTCGTCTCTGGGTGTCTAGTAATAGCCCGTTCTTCATAGGAATCGTCGCATTTGCGTTTGACATCGACCCAAAGCCACGACGTTATACTTTAACGTAATTGAATGTATTTCATCGACAACAGATGAGGAGCCGAAGAAGCCACTACCGCCATGGAAACGACATCTCATTAGCATCGGGAAATTCTTTGGAATTCTTGTGTGCCTCTACTTCTTCATTTGTTCTCTGGACCTCTTAGCCTCTTCCTTTCGACTTTTAGGCGGTAGAGCCGCCGGTAAGTGAAACCATTCCTCTTAGATCTGGGGCTTTAATGAGGGGGTTTACGTTCTCCGTGTGGTAATGGAGACCGTGTTACGTGTATTCGCAGGCGAAATCTTCAAGCAGGATGTGTTACAGAACCCTGTTGTTGGGGTGGTCATCGGGATCTTGGCCACAGTTCTCGTCCAAAGCTCATCAACCTCTACCTCAATCGTCGTTTCCATGGTCACCTCAGGAAGTACGTGAGACTGACAGTGGGTGCATTTAGTTACTGAGATTTCTCATTTTTCTCAATGAATGAGGAACTGGCCAAACCCAATCGGTAAGGAAATCGGTGCCTCGCTGATAAAAAATGAGGTAGCCCACCGGGTGCTGTGAGGCCTGGAGGGATGCCATCGAGCCGTCTCAGTGACCAGATGCTACCGGTGTCTTTTCTCGGACTTCCCTCAATACTTTTGGTAATATGGTATTTTCTTTATATCCTAGTCATGGAAGTGAGGCAAGCAATACCCATCATCATGGGAGCTAACATTGGGACGTCGGTGACGAACACGGTCGTTTCCTTTGGTCAAGTTGCCAACCGGGAGGAGTTCGAAAGGGCTTTTGCCGGTGCCACAGTCCACGATATGTTCAATTGGCTCACTGTCATCGTTCTGCTGCCAATCGAGCTGATCACGCGTGAGCTACGAAATGATCCATTCTCGTTATTAATCTATATGTGATAAGTGCGTGAAGTAATTCCACGGTGACGAATTGTTCCGATTCCCGCGCGGCTGCAGGTTATTTGGAGACGCTTAGCGACCTGATGACGAAACAGATCCACGCGAGCCGAGACTCGGATATTAAAATGTTGTCCGTTCTCACGGAACCTTTCACTGAGCGCATTGTGCAGGTGGGAGAGTAATGTCAGATCTCCGATAAATTCTGTCTATAATTAATATTTGACGTTAATCGTTCATCATGCGCTTCGTGATTCTCCTCCACAGCTCGACCCGAATGTTCTCAATGGCTGGGCGGGCATCCCGGAGTACCAAGAATATGCGACTGTCAACACTCTGCTGAAGAGTTGCAATTTTGAGAAATGTGAGTCCGTGATTGAGTCTTTTCTCATACGTCTGCGAAACCGCTCCCCATGGAGCGTCTCGTGGCGTGGGTATTACGACGAATTTTATTTTCATGCATGTTGTCCGTGGCAGGCGGGTATCTGTTCGAGGGTGCGGCGCTCGCAGATTCGGGGATCGGAGCCATTCTTCTCGTAATCTCTCTTATCCTCATGATAGGCTGCCTCCTCATACTCGTCAAGATCCTCAACTCTATTCTTCAAGGTAGGGGAGGAAAAGAAAAGAATCAAATTCTCTCCATTCCTCTTGCTCCTCATGGCATTAGGAGACGATTGATTATTTTTGCTTTGCCAGGATCCATAGCTACTGCGGTCCGGAAGTACGTGAACTCGGAAGTGCCTCACGCCCCGTTCTTGGCCGGTTACATAGCCATTGCCGTGGGAGCGTTCGTCACCTTCATCGTCCAGTCCAGCTCTGTGTTCACTTCGACCCTTACTCCTCTGGTGGGATTGGGGGTCGTCTCTTTGGACAGGATGTACCCTCTCACTCTGGGTTCAAACATCGGCACGACGTCCACGGCTATATTGGCCGCTCTTGCTTCCGATTCTAGAACGCTTAAATATGCCCTTCAAGCAGCTTTCTGCCATCTCCTTTTTAACCTTTCTGGAATTCTTCTCTTCTACGTGATCCCCTTTATGAGATTCCCCATTCCGTTAGCCAAACTTTTGGGACGAACGACGGCGAAATACCGTTGGTTTGCAATCTTCTACTTGATCGTCATGTTTATCCTCGTTCCCGCGTTCGTGTTCGGCTTGTCTTTGGCCGGAAGCTATGTTCTAATGGGTATAGGTATCCCATTGCTCATTGTTATTTTCGTTGTCAGCCTTATTAACCTTATCCAAGCCAAAAAGCCTCACATCTTGCCTCCCAAACTCCAGAATTGGGACTTTTTGCCTATTTACCTCCACAGTTTCCAACCGTACGATGACATGTTCATGAGAATACCTTGCTGCCATAAGTGCCGGAAAGCAAAAGAGGAAAGCGAAAAGGTCCCCGAAAAAATGCCTCCATCGAGCCATGTTGAACACGAATAGCCATGTACCTGATGAATGTAAAGTGCTTTTAAGATTTTATAGTGTCGTTATGAGTTTTGAACATTCTTTTATTTGATCTCAAACGAACGGTCCTCTGAGATCTATCCAGCTCCCAAAGAAGATAAATATTTTAAAATACTTGTGATATGAATACCATGGAGCTTCCGGTGAGGATCAACGCGAAGAGGAAAGCTGTGAAGTAAGGGTTCACTGATTTTTTTAAATTTAGGATGCGACTGCACAGATTGTTTCAAATTGCACATTTTTACGGAAAATTTTCCCGCAGTCCATATCAACCCTGCTGGATCAGGGACAAGCACATCACGCTTTTTTGTAGGCTTCCTCATCTTCATATCGAATGTTAAGGGATCAGGTGGGTGTCCTACTTGTGTTACCCATTGTTGTGATTATAAATAAATTATGCATCCTTTCTTACGTGTTTCATGTCAATTTGCAATCCCAGGAAAGGGAACTGGGGAATCCAGCGTATACCGATGGTACTCGTTGCCATCAGTGGTGACAAATGTTTTTACTCACCCTGAAGTGGGGAAGAGCATTTTAGATGTTACGGAATTCCTCGTTTTAAAATAAGATCAATAAAAACCCAAGTACTGAAGTACTGACGAAAAGTGACTGCTGAATCTGTTTCAAGACTATTGGACTTCGACCATTTTCCCATCAATTGTGAAATGCTGACGGAGCTTAGTGTCCATAGGCATATTAAGCTGTTTGAGGTGGAGGTAGGTGTGGGAAGGTGAAATTTTTCATGCAGTATTTGGTCTACTCCAATGAAGAGCAGACAATTCGTTCAGAGCTACCACCCTCGGCGCTTCTGCCCCCAGGTCCCCCCCTTCTCCACATTTGAAAGTCTTGCAAGCCCTGGATGCGTCACTGACAGTTTCATTAACTTTCACTGCTTGCTGTCATTCCTCGAAATGTCTAGACACATCATGCAATGACAGATTCTCCCATTCGCAAATGACAGTTGCGTTGCTTCAAAAGAATTATTCCGTATTGTGTCATCGAATTCACCGTGGCTGATGGAAAATCACTCATATCCAGGTGTGAGCGATCATGAGTTCTTCCCTCTTCGCATACGAAAATAATTGTTCTTGTGTCTGAATTGGATTATTATTGAATTGAATTACTCGTTCTAATCTTAGAGACCTATTCAAACGTGAACGTGAATGAAGCTCGATGACACTATTCTAACGCTTGAACATTTCAAAATGTATATTCAATAATTATGAAGGGATCCAATTTCATCTCTTGTAAATAAAGCTTTAATATCTATAGCAAATGTAGACCCTTCTAAGTTTATTGGCTGAATGCATCCAAAACAGAAGTTGCTATTTTTTTGCTCAGAGTGAGATATGCATAGAGCAAACCGAACCGAACTTGATTTTGATCCCATGGACTAAGATGGATATGTTACATATAGTGCCGTGATGAGCACAGGGTGGGCTTCGAGGAATTTTTTCCTGATTGAGAACAGAGGCACAGAGAGAGAGAGAGAAAAAAAAAATCGAGACAATAAAGTTTTTTTCTTTTCCTCTCTCACAGGAAACAAAGAGGGGGGGGAAACAGAACTCCTTTCACTTCATCTGGGAAAACAAGTTCTCCACTCAGGTTGACAAAGTGAATCCGCTAGTTTTGTCATATTTGGTACAGCACACTTCAAATATAGCATATTCTGCAGCATGAAAGTTAATGAAACTGTCAGTGACGCATCCAGGGCTTGCAAGACTTTCAAATGTGGAGAAGGGGGGGGGGGGCGAAGGAACTCCTCTAGATCAATTTCTTTTGATGTTAACCTCCTGTTCAACGATAGGCTCCAACAGTTGGCACCCACCCTCACGGCAACTTGAAATCAGGTAAAAGAGTGAAATAATTGCAACGTGTGTCTGTAATTTAAACAAACTCAGATTAGGAAATCAGGAGCTCTCATTAATATTGTGGAGTAGAACGTAATCATCCATTGGCTCTCAACGGCTACGGCTAACACGGTGCTCCATTTCGTCGCCAATTTGCGTTGACCCGCGAATGGATCTACTCCGTTTCGGCCCGAAGAATCGTGGCTTGAGGGCCGAGAGGAGGAGGGGGGCGGAATTTCATTGCATATCTCCCTGGAAGACCGGCAACAGTAGAGACCTTTGATCGATGAGGAACCCATGAAAGTGGGTGGTTCGGTATGAGAAGTGAAACTGAACATGAAATCCACTTTCCTCGTGGCTTTAGGCACGTGGTCTACCAATCTTGGACTCCATGACGTCATGCGCACTCTAATTTATTCACTTTCGCTTGAACCCAAGGTGCTCCGACGGTGAGAGAGACTTGAAGAAAAAAAAAGTAGCTGTGAAATGGCTTAGCTTGAAAGGAAAAAGTGACTCCTCAAAAATTACCCTTTGAGGAATTCTGTCTTGACGAAGGAGTGAATGAAATATAAAAAAAAATCAGTAGACGAAGAGTCTTTCTTCGGTTTCCTCCTGCAATATTTACGGCTTAGGAACCGATTTAAAAAATATATTACTCCTCTCTGCGACTTCCCGCTGAGAAATTCATGTCATGTAGACAAGGAGTGAAATGCACTAGATCCGTTCAACCATAAACTAATCTCATTCAAAATGGACATCTTTGGGAATGAAATGAATTCGGATTGACTAGCTCCCCTAGGGGCCCTTTATCAAGCCAGATTAGTTTCGGGTCCAATTCTTCTCCCTTTTAAGCTCCTGAGGGACTTTTAATTGCCTCTTTTACCTGCGTGCGAATCTTTTACAGACTTTTGCACTATAAGGTGTTTTAGAACATTACTTCCTCGTTCAGCTGCCTTTTAGCTAAAGGCCTTTTCATGTATTTCAGTCCTTTTATCTAAATGACAGTAAAAGTTCCTTAGGAAAAAAAAAGCAAACAGGTTTGGCGCATTTCTTCCAAGGGGAAAGGCGGAAATCAGCCATTCATCTTTTCTCTCTCTCCCTTCCTTTTAACGGAATTCGAATCTGCACAAACACCTCTCTGGTTACGTGGAGACCTTTCTAGAAATTTCGCGCGAAGAGGATCTCAGTCCGTGCAGGAAGGAATGCTGATATGCTCGACCGCATAAACCAACCGTAAACTGCCTCATTTGTGATGATAAGTTCCCTTTCTCTATTTCGTGGGCCATCTTGGAAGAAGCAACCGCTTGTTTATTCAATGGTGCCCGTTTATGCACAGTGGATCGAAATCTTGCTGTTAGAATTCTTCCGGGGGGACTTTGTAATGAGTTTCAAACCGTGGCATGAAGATAAAGGACTGCAATCGTATGAATATTTTTGCGACTGAGGACTGTTCGAGCAGCCTGAAGAAAAGGTAATTAGGAAACAGACAATTGATTTCCTTGTTTCCCATAAGACTGAACGAGACTTCCTCGATGGGGGAGTGCGAGACCGAGAGGACTCTTTTGCAGTACATGGGACCAAGATTAACTTGGAATGATCGTAGAAAAGGGTGAGTGGCAGCACAGTTTAATCGAATAAATAAACGAAAATCATTCATCCGATTTCAAGACTGAACGCGAATAATTGGTCACATGCATGCATTCCAATATGCTCGCGTGACTGCCAAACGATGAAATATTCAAATAAATGAACGGTCTGAAGCGGTTGCTCATTCCTTCTCATGACTCCGTTCTCATTTCGAGATAACAGTACTTAGCGCAACCGAAAAACGTGCTGATTCTCACACACAAGGACTTGTTTTTCGCCGGAGGAGTTCTTTCCGCCTCTGATTCACTGTGCAATCGTGAGGCCGGCGGGGTGTAATTCCATTTGCAAATGTTGTGCTCCGTTGCAGACTGAGTCACGGTTGACGTCATTATGTCATGATATCAGGACGTGAGGTAATGTCAAGATGTCATGAGGTACTTTTGGGATCGGGCGACACGAGAAGCTCCGCTTGCTCGTCGTGGTTTATCATTTTTCGAACCTTTAGGTAAAGGTTTCAATCTGACTCCCGGAACGAGGAGAGAGGCGGAGAGATGGAGTGAAATGGATTTCGTTTTGTTGCACTTATCAGAGTCCCGTAAGGAAAAAAGCCTCACAGCACGCTGCTAATGTTTCCCGTCAACATGAACCCTGCAAGAGGCATAATACTATGTAATCAAGGAACCCTTTTAGCTGATTTCCACCCGTCATCAAGGAAAGCACGAGCAACTTAAATGTATCGGATGTAAATAAATCTTCGAAGCTCGAAAAACGAGGGGAGAAAAATTAAGCACATTCTGCAGGTAATTCTGCCTTGCCGAATACATTTTGCGTCCCCACGTCATGTTTCATGTTGCTCCAATGCAGTACGCAAACAGAAAGGAAGACCTCGAAGCCTTTATTGTAAAAAAGTCTGCTTGTCATGGCCTCCAGGCAATTCGCTAAACTCTCCCAAATTGCTATTTACGATTTGTTAACTCGTGAGACAGTTGCTGATCCGAAAATTGCTCGCGGAATGATTTCCACGTTGAACGATGAAGTTGTGGAGAGGTTTGGAAACCTCTCCACTCTGCTCACTTTCACACTCAAGACGGAAATTTCTCGGCTGTCGAAGGGTCCCTTTTTCGGGGTCTGATAGGAAGAAGCCCCTGAGGGGTTCAACGGGGTAATGTTCGACTATCCGAATGCCTTCAATGCCCTTTAGTCCCAGGATAACAAGAGAGGGGAAAAAAGGAGGAGCGAGAGGAAATCATGTATAAACAGATGCGGCCAGATGAAAGGCGTCCGCCCGAAAATTCACATTAACGTTGGGTCAAATTACAAGTGGGAGTGGCTCTACATATTTTCATTTATTTCAAGCAACTGCTATGTGCCTAAATGCTATGCCACTTCGTCGTTGAGGACATTTTGCATTCTCAAAGGATCGGGGAAGGACTCGTATCAATGAACCAACGAGTTTATCAGCTGGTTCAGTTTGGTTTGCACCGTCCACAAGATAAGCAAATGTTCACCTTAGGTCCTTGGGTACATGACGCCATTGGTGTAGTGATATCGCGCCTCCTAGGCAAATGGAGATTCCACGTGAAGATTATATTGCCCTTATTTTATTACATTTTCCGTGACGTGGCTGTTGCTTCCTGTCACACCCAAAGTCTTTACTCTCATTCTCCGCGGAAGTGGGGGAGGAGAGGCACATTCCCATCAAGGGAATCTGAAGACATTGGTCTGCGATTTCTGACGACTTGATAAGTAAAGGACAGGACGATGCAGGCAAATCATTGTTTTAACTTCTTCCCAAACTCCTTTTCCATCACGTGCTATCGAGGATTTGTCGCGACATTTAGGATACAAACTTGGTTCTTATTGGGCTCATCACGATATGCTGCACACCATATGAATTTGCGCCCGCTCTAAGAACCACAGAAGGTGAGCTTACTAA